AATAAATGCATTGTTGCAAGATAAGACTTCTAATTTATTGATATTGATAAACCTTTTAAGGTGCTAACATTATTTTGATGTGTTGACATAAATAACAAAAAAAACTAGATACATTCTGGACTTACATATATGATAGAGAGTGGACCACTGATGCCTGGTACACTCAAACCTAATACAAACTTGAGCTGGGACACCAGGATGTGGACAGCAGCTGCTGTGGTGAAGCCAGACACCAGAGTGTCAGACAGGTACATGACAACAAAGCCCACCTGCATTATACCCATGGCAAGCTGCATGGGACAGACAATTGAAGAGAAAATAAATCTGGTTTGAAAACCACTCTTGGAACAGGCAGATTTACTGATATGTAGTACTGTGGCATAGTAAATCAAATCTACCTGGAAAACCCCCACGAGAAAGGTAACAGAGGAGGCCACCAGGACTCTCTGCTGATCCTGGGTTAGGCCTTCAAACCCCGTGATATTGGCAGGTGCTCCCTGCTCTGGGACCAGGCGGGTCACCACAGCTCCCACCATAAGGCTCAAGACTGGGAAGGAGCCTGTATGAAGGTGAGGAAGGCGCTGTTAAGCATCCAATCTTATCTCTGCTATGATAAGATCTGTAACAGGCCTCTTTAACCCCTTTTATTACTTGGGGACAGTTGATACAGAAAAATAGGGAGAAACTGTTTTATTTTGTCCCTAAGCACTCAATTTTCAAAAAAAAAACATCAGATTGTATTTGATCAAGTTTGATAAACTTGAAAATATATATATATATTTTATAGTGACTCAGCATTGCAATACATACCTACAGATATGTGTCTTGAAGTACCGAGGAAGAAATATGTTAGCATTGGGAAGAAAGCGGTGAAGAGGCCGTAGCTCGGAGGGAGCGAGGCCAGCAGAGAAAAGGCCAGTCCTGAGAGACCACAACAAAACAGCAAACACAGAATGAAGATTTGGATACTTTTCAAATAAATTATCTCTGGTTAAGCAAATGAAAACAAAGAAAACACTTCAATAAATCACCAGTTAATGTTCTGCCATATAATTAGTAGGAGAAGTTTCAGAAAATGGCTGCAAAGTTGCTAAAAGAAGCTAATTCTGACAAACAAGAGTTTACAGTCAGTTAGCAGCATGTTAACATTAGCTAATTAGCACAAAACACAAATTACAGCTGAGGCTGATTGTCATTAGTTTTGTGAGTTAATCCAAAGTGTACCAATAATTGTTGGATATTTTCGTGACCAACATGCCGACCAACACTGCCATCCCACGAGCCACACTACTGCTAAAATACTGTTAGCAGTTTATGGCGTAAACTTAAGATAAAAGTTGCCGATACTTCTACCACAAAACACTATTACTAAAACTGAAAGTTCCCGTATGCTTGGGGAATCATGTCAGAATGAATTTAACCTCAGTGCCTCCTTCAGATAACCAGTGTAGTATCAAACAACTTACTGCATCACATCAATTACCATAGCTGAAAATACAATACAGCTAATAATTAGCCAAAAATATTGATCTGAATCAATTGGTTTTAATTGGTGCCAAATGACACTTGAGTTTGGAGCACCAAAACAATACTTTTTCAAGTGGGAGGCTATAACCATTTTTTTTACTCACCAATATGTGTGTCTGTAAAGTTATTACTTATGTTATACAAGTTTATAAAGCTTGCTTATTTATACTATGCATCTATTTTATCGGCCTACTTTCTTTTACTGCTGCAACACTCTTACCTTAAGCCAAGAGTGTGATTGTAGTTGCTGTTAGCGGCCATATATGAAGCATACTTACTAGCAAAATTCTAATTTAAAAGTGGGAACATCTGATCAAAGATTAAGTTAAGTAAAACATTAAATAAAGTAAGAATCTGAATGGGCATTCAATGTCAAATTCAGTGACAGTCCCTTACAAGTTACATTCACATGCAGCGTTTCTAAGTCAGCAATTAACATTCTTAGGCAATATTCTGTGACAATGCAATGTATACGTCAGGATTCGTGTCAACATTTTTCTTATGGAACCATGGCCACAATCTTTCCCTGAAGGACTTTGCAGCCACACACTTTGCTTTCTCCATCCTGCTCCTCACCTTGCATAATGGCCACCATTCCGGTGCTGATACCAGATACCACATCACCCAGCAGCCACTCTCTAACTCTGTAGATCCTCATCCAGCCAATGATGGGCAGAAGAGAGAGCACTGCATTTGTGGCCCGTTTTGAATCACAGCTGGATTTAAGATAAAAACATAAAAAAGCTCTTGCACTTTAAAGTTTTCAAGTTTAAAGAATTTACCTTATACACAATTTCACTAAACCCTCTATCACAATCAGACACAAAAATTAAGATTTAAAATAGTGCAAGTTATTAAGTTAAATCAAAGGCTGTGATCTGATCTTTAAAGAACTGGGCCTTACTTACGTCAGATACTCTTTCATATGGTGCAGGATGGTTTTTCGGTGTCTGCAGACTTTCTCATGATCTGCAGCAAAGCTGTCCTCAGAGTACACAGGCCTGACCACCTCATATCGATTCCTTAGAGTCACCATCCTCACACCTCTGGTGTCTGAAGAATCTAATCTCAGTATTATACCGAAGATTCTGGAGATAGATCCCTAAAAGAACCTTTGTCCGGTGCGTCCCTCTGCAACGCTGTGAGTCTGTATGTATCTAATCTGTGATCTGAGATCCCTGTGTCATTTTTCTTTTAACTCTGTTCAATCATTAACACAAGCAGATTCATGATTCTTTGTGTTTATACGTTATATGTAATTTCCTTTTCTTTTTTGGTTCAGTCACTTTGTTATCTTTTTTGAAGATTGTTTTTATAGAGACAGAAAAGAGAGAGGAAAGGCGGGGGAGAGAGAGGGAAAGACACAAAATCTCAAACTCAGCCACTTTGGTGGACTTGATACATGGTATAGGCACCCAGTTCAGTCAATTTCTACAGTCACAGAAAGAGAATGGTTCCTACATGAAACTGCCCACAACAAGGTCTATGGATTATCTTGAGTCATATTTTCTGGATAGAGACACCTTATGCAAGAGGCGATATATGAACACATTTTCTCTTATTTTTGTTTGTATCCATGATTTGTTCTTATTTTGTTAATACCCACTGATTTCTGGGATTCACACACGTTTTCTTATCCCTTTCATGCATAGAGGTCACTACAGTATACAGCTATTCAAAAGCTGTTTTCTTGTATATGCATGAGTTTTGATTGACTTGTTCCTAGTGTCATACTATCCTCATACTATAGTAGGTTTCCTTGCAGTAAAGCTAGCCATAAAAACATTCAGTGTAAGTTAGTGCTGAGGCAGTGCACCTAACTATGGCTGACAGTCGATGGATCGTGAGCGAGAGACTTGGGAATCTATACAGGACAGTGAATTCCTCAATGTTTTGGTTATGCATGGATAAATTCTATTCACATTTTATTTATTTGTTTGTTAAATACATATTTCTACAAAAATGCATGCTGTCCACCTGAGTGGACATGTAAATATATCTTTATAAAAAATGGGTTGAAAAAAAAAGTTAAAACCTTGTTTTTCATGATGAAAACTCTTCGATCAGAGAACATTTTATGAGTGGTCCAGAGCACTCTTACTAACAAAACAAATAGTTTCCACTGTCAATTGTTTGTCCAAAGCAAGGACTTTTAAATTTGAGGAACATAATAAGCACACAAATATTACGGAGTAAACCTTCTCCAGGCACCACTACGCCACTGACTTTGCCTGTTGGTAATCCAGCCTTGATGTGCAGTGAGTGTGCTGGCCTTTTAACAGAGCACCAAAACAAAGTGTACATACGGTATGAATATTTTGCTTACATAAAAAAGATGCACAGAATGTCATTATTTAGAGTGATAAAATATTTATTTCAATATTTCATCCACTGCACAGTCTTTTTCACATTGCTTTGGTCCGCCAAAAACGAGAACATTACTTAGAGAACAGTGTTTATTTAAACTATACAACATGTAAAATATTTGGCACCTACGGATTTCTACAAATTACTATATACGTATAAAAAAACAACAATACCATGAAATTAGTTTTCTTACATTACAGCAAATACTGTAAACTTAGATTGTCAGGTGTGTACAGTCAAAAACAGCATCTCGTCATTCATTCCATCAGAGTATTGTACAGCATGATTTGTAAAACATTGACTCTTTTTTCTTTGGTCTTTTTAGTGTTTTCTCCCAGAAATGATCATCTTCTCATTCAAGTTAGAACTTCGTTTCTGATCCGGAGCCTGCGGAGAAAAGGAGTTATTTTTATAGTCTGTTTCATCACAGAAGCGTGTGGTACTGTTAAAAATGTGCTTTTACATAATGAAAGTGTAATTATGGAACTGTTTAATGGTGTGTAGCTTTCCAATCATAATACTTAAAGCCAGTGGTTCCAAACCTTTTCCTTAAGAGACTCCTTTTTCTGATCAACTGAATAAAGTGACATCCCCCTGACTATATTCAACAAATATACAACAACTGATAAACTGTACAATGCAACCCAACATAGTGAATGCACTAACTGCAGGAAGTTTGTGTAAAACGATCAATTTGGAATGAATTATTAAGCAGATTATGTTCCTGTAAATATTGATCAGAAGATTACTTTTTTCAAACATTTTTTTAGGACTTTCTATACAATCCAATGTAGTATTGTTTTTTTTACTCTGTACAATCATGCTTCTTTTTTGACCAATTTAATATTTCTTCTCCGCTGATACTTCCTCATTGTTCCTAATACAGCTTGTTGTTGCAGGGCATCAAGCTCCGTACAGTAGTTAAATCTATAACACTGATATGTGTAGTTTTAACACAAGCTCATGTTTGTAAGGTAAGAAAACATTCTACTCTTTTTTACTAGTTTTTTTTTCTCACAATACAAAGTGACAATTAAGTGAGTGTCAGCTTAAAATTACTAAAAGCTACTTGATCAAGAATGTTTTAACTTACAAAATAGAGTTTTAGTTTTACTCAAAAAACTAACTTTTTTGAGTTAAATTAACTAATTTTGTTTAGGATGACTAACTGGTGAATTTTGTTGTTTGTTGTCTGTTGATCATAGGGATTCGTCCCAGAAAAATCAACCAATAAATAAAATAAAACAAACAAAATGATATATAGAACATGGCTAACATAAAGAAGATGAAAACCATAGCAAGTACTGTTGCACACAAATAAAAAGGCAAAATGAACTACATACGTTTCTGTCTCTGCTCCTCAAACTGCCTCCAGGGTTGTGAACTGTGACTGTTGTTATAATCTGCAGAACAACACGAAGTGTTAAGTATTCTGTACATATTCAGAGCTGTAATATATGGAATTTCTTCAGATAGAAGCGTCCTACAAATATTGTGCTATACTAAGAAAACTTGTCTTTTTTACCTTGTCATAGTCAGGTTTCTTCTCTGTGGACTCTGGGTGTTTCTCGAGGATGTGCAGCATGGCGTCGTGCAGTGTCAGGAAGAACATTGATGGCTGAACTTCATCATCGAAGAAGCAGCAGTTATGCAGTTTTTCCAGGATGTACGCTGCGGGTGAGCAGAAGATAATACAGATTGTGACTAAGTGGGCTATAATCTGTTGTAAAACCAGTCAGTTGGTAAGTCATGAATACTAAATATATATTTGGGGCAGAAAAGATTTGATAATTCAGTGAAGCGTGTGCCAAAGTAGATAAACTAAGTAAAGTAGAGATAAGTAAAGATATAGTGGAATAATTGTACTATCGCGGCCTCTCTGTGGTTTCGTTTACATAGATCTGGCCGTGTTGATATAGACCGACTAAAAACCGGCCCCGTTTTTCTCATCCTTCTGCATTGATTTTAGGGTATTATTTTCGACCAACACCAGAGCTTGGTGAATTGTTGGAACAGTGGAAAGACTAACAAAGATGGTTTTTGTGGATTTCTGACCACTTTGAATGAAGTTATGTTACAATGATATGTGAGGTATAATGACGGAGTTTGTATAATGGAGTTTGGTGGCAAGCAATAGTGAAGTTACGGCTGTTTCTGGTTAAACAAAAGGTCTATCTCTGTAGATATTTTTTCTCACTTAGAATAACAATAAAAAAATAAAACAGTTTTATTTATTTCTGCCCCATTGTTTAGCTCTGAGATGCCGGTACTAGATAGATAGATACATATTTTATTTATCCAGAGGGAAATTCAAGTACTCTAGTGCAACATCCAATGGTAAGTGCATTTCATATATATAACCTTTAAGATGTAAAAGTTCTGTCTGATTCTGGACTTTAATACTTACGATCACAAGCCACAATGTAGACCTCAACTTCAACCCGGATCAGCTCTTTCAGCAGCTACAAAAGCAAAACAAAAAGAAGTTAGACATTTAAAGAAAAACAGCATTAGTAAAATAACTGCTGCTGTGAATGATCAACTCACCGTTTTGAGTCCCTTCAGAGCAGAGATGTCCAGGAAGGAGACAGCAGCAAAGTCCAGGATCAGGCTGTGGGTGTCCACTCGGGGGACCACGATATTAGCGGGAAGCTCTGCATTCCAGTCGATCCGGGACGGAAGGTCCTTGAAGTCAGTGGGCAGGTCCAGCTCCTCCATGTTGCTCTCGTCCTCTGACTCCTTGAGGGGTCCGCATGACATATTCAGGAAGCCTTTCTGTAAAGATAAAATAGTTTGTACATTTTCTCACCTCTCTTTGGTTCCTACAAAGCTGTACATTTCGATATATACTGGATGAAATACAAAGTAATACCCAGTCCATCAAAGATTTCAATACAGTATAAGTACTTCCGGCAGAACTAAATCAACTTCTGGTCATATCAGTTTCCAGTGTGAACAGGTGACAGCCCTTAAGTGACCTGTATGATGTTAATCGCTATGACACTAATGTGAAATGCAAGATCAACCTTTATTAACAATGTAGCTTGGAGAGTGTTTTTGGAAAGATAGGAAGAAGCTGTACTTCAAAATGAACAATCTGAACTTTCCTGAATTTGACTGTGGACAGAAGTACCACAAGAAACCTCAAGAAACTCATGCAAACAAGGAGGACATGCCACTTTGCTACCTGGCACAGTATTAACAGGATGGCAACCTTCTACATTTACAGTAGTAAAGGTGTTCTTGTAGGATGGGGTTAGTCAAACTCAGTCAGCCGCTCAAGCACTGCTGTTTGTAGTGACCACTTGTGCTTTGGGACGAATTGGATCATTTTCATTTCATTATGTCTCTAAAATATGTTTTACTCCACGTGAGCCAGATATTTGTTGTTTCTCAATACTACATGTTTCAGTGTTTCAAAGATGTTTCATAGATGTACCAAAACTGCTACATAATGGATGTCATTTATTTTTGCATCAATTTGAAACAACATTTCTGAGGTACTTTAAGGTACAAACTGTCTGATTCAGCCAGAAGTCGGTGTAGGTAGCAGTTTGTGAAGCACACTTGGGTAATCTCAGCGTACATGTATGCACTTTAGCACTTATGCACACACTAGGCGTTTTCATCATGATGGGGGACATTAGAACACCTGCCGAGTGCACCTTGGACGTCATAATTGCAGCATTTTCATTGCTCGGTATCAAGGAGTATCCCTCCTGGAGCTCTTTAGAGTCATTCTCTTCTGCATGACAGCTAACTGGAAAGGTTCTGACG